CTCTCTCTCTCTCTCTCTCTCTCTCTCTCTCTCTCTCTCTCTCTCTCTCTCTCTCTCTCTCTGAACCTGGAGGCCCCCCCCGGCCTCTGAGGGGTCTGAAGAGACCCTGGTGCAAACGAGAGATTTCCATCTCCTCCTCCTGAATAACTGATCCTCTGATATCTAATCTATTTCCCATTTATAAGCAGCATATATAATCAATGGATGTTAATAACTCACTATAACCCGTTTGTAAGCAGATATAAGGAAGTTTTATGTGATTGGTGAAGTAGGTGTCAACAAGTGAAACTCCTCAAGTTCATGAATAGTACAATATGAAATAAGGATCATGAAATGTGATGTATTTATTTAAATCATTTGTTACTGTTATTTGTAAGCTATATTTATTGATGCAGTATTTATTCATAATTACTCCGTAACTCTCAGTGATAATAAAGGTCATGACATGATGCTGAAAGCTCTGCAAGGAATCATGTAAGTGCATTCATTCTTTTCTTTTCTTTTTGGCCTCTCGGGGCAGCAGTGTAACACAGCTGTGAAAATAACAAGTGAAATAAAGTGAAGTCAAAAACAAACAAAACTAAGATTTAAACTCTAGTTTAAAAGGTTGAATAATATGGGCGGCGTAAACTTTCACTGGAGGGACGGATTCTGGCCCACAGGCAGTTGTTTGTAATTTAAGACGTGTGAATCATTTGATAACTATTTCTACAACAGTTATCAACGTTTTTGAAAGACTTGAAGTATGTTAATAGAATTATTTAATGTGAATCTACCAAAAATTCAATGTATAGATGTACCACATATTATCAGTCCAGAAATGAAAATATTCATGCGTTAGATATGAAGAGTCAATCAGCTAAACAGCCATTAAAATAAAATGACACTGAAAGACACTTGGTGAATATTTCAGACAGATAAAATTTGGAGCCACACCCGTCAGTCACAAGAAGTGCTTTGACTTATTTCAGTGAAGGACTCCTGCACAATGAGGCCTTTCTTGTCTGAGCAACGTGTGAAAGACATGTTCAGTCTCTGGTTTCACACAGCGAGAGAATAAAAAAACTGTTCCTGTAGAAGGAGCGGTGATGTCACTGACTGACAGTTCACTGTTAACCCACACGTCTCCATAGTAACCGGTTGTTGGCATGCCCCAACAAGTGGCATGACGTCAGCATCTCGAGGCGAGTTATCGTCAGCAGAACATGACGACGCTATAACGTGTTGTTTGCTCAACAGCAGTTTGTTTATTACAACAACCGTCATCACCGGACTGATTCATTCTGCGCATGACACCGGATGTCATTTTTATATAAACGGAATCATGTTCCATTTTCTTATAAGAAATTATTAAAGCATAAACTGAAATTAAAACATTAAGTCAGAAAGTTTGGTGTAACTGTGATACTTCTATAGTCGTCCACGTTCAGGCTACATCACTGGAACGGTGACGACTGTGAAACTTAGTTATTTTAGCAGAACTGAGGAGTCTAAAAGTGGACTGAGGTACTTCTTGTTAAATATCACACAAAATAAACACACTGATGTTGAATCATAGATTTCTTTTATTGCCAATATGTTGAACACCTCATTATAAAATCCTGTTCATATACAAAGACCAGCAGAGCCGTGTGTTTCCATTACAGTGTAAGTAGATGCTACTCTAGTCCATGTCCAGAGAGAAGAGAGGGAGATGCTGCTGTTGAACCTGGGTCTTTGTAAATGTTCACCTCAGGCCTCGTTTATCCTCAGAGGTCAAACAGAACAGACATAAAAGGCTTTTAATTCAAAGTTACATCCATTTTTTTCTGGTGACTATGACCAACTGTCTGGGAGTGGACCCTGCAGGGAGAGAAAGGCCACTTTTGGAGGGTAAAATAAAAAGCAGGAAACATGTACTCATCTCTCACTCGACAGCGACAGAACAGAGGGAAATTAAATTAAATTAAACCTAAGTGTCCCGGTCGACGCGGCGCTCCGAGGGACAGACAACGGCAACTAAACAAAAAGTACCTAGATCGATCGCAATCTCCTCGACGGAATTCATGGCATGCGGCTGGACATTTCCTACAGTAAAAAAAAATAATTTAAAATTAACTCTCTTTAATTTAGTGATCTAAAGGAAAAGA